CTTGTAGTTGGGCAGGAGTAGGTAAGGCCCTGGATAAATCTTCTGATATTATTGATGTAGGTTATCCTGGGCGGATGGTGATAGTCCGATGTTTTGGAATCTCCTACCACTTGGATGGAGCACCACAAGTAGAACAGGTAAGGACCAGTAGTAGTCCAATAATGTTAATAAGTCTCATTAACACATGTCTTGCTCCTTTATCTGGCGTCTATCCTGGATGACCACGCCAGGAACAGAGCTGATAATAAGAAAAAATAAACTGGTTACCAATGGTCATGATAATATAACATTTAAGAATGGAAAAGAATGATAAATGCCAAAATCATTACTGGTAACCAGCAAACAAAAGAAAAGGAACAAACAGTAATACTCCTGGTAGATCACCCTACCTGATTAGGAGAAGAGTGGAGGTGAAGTGACTCTCCAAACTTCAACCCACACCAGGTAAGGTCAATATTACCAGGAGTAGAAATTTGAACAAATCAGACACCAAGAACTAGTTTCGCCCCAGCCCGCCAGAGGGGGGGGGGGTGCGCGACGTAACTCGCTAATGATTCCTGGTTGCCTGAACAACCTTAACCCCACTTACGCCTACTTTTCCCTCACAACATAATCCAACAAACTACTGTCATTTCGCCCTACATCATATCTTGTATACTTATTTATCCTCTTTTTCTTAAAATATGTATTACCTATAACTAAACCCCTTTCTGTACAAAGTTCAATCAAAGGGCTCCCATTATCATTTACACCTGGCACCCCAAACTTACCTTCCACACCCTCTCTAAAAGTTTCTCCTACTTTAGCATTCAGGTCCCCTACCACAATTACTCTCACTTGGTTCAAAGGCTCCTATACATTCACTTAACATCTCCCAAAATCTCTCTCTCTCCTCTGCATTCCTCTCTTCTCCAGGTGCATACACGCTTATTATGACCCACTTCTCGCATCCAACCTTTACTTTAATCCACATAATTCTTGAATTTACACATTCATATTCTCTTCTCCTTCCATAACTGATCATTCAACATTACTGCTACCCCTTCCTTTGCTCTAACTCTCTCAGATACTCCAGATTTAATCCCATTTATTTCCCCCCACCGAAACTCCCCTACTCCCTTCAGCTTTGTTTCGCTTAGGGCCAGGACATCCAACTTCTTTTCATTCATAACATCAGCAATCATCTGTTTCTTGTCATCAGCACTACATGATGGGGTGACTCCCTGGTATGTTTCTGTCTTACGACAGATAAATAGAAGTCATTGAGTTTCTTTACAGTTTTTGCTCTGAACAAATTGTGTGCATTTACCATATTGTGTGCATTTGCCATATCCGAGATGGGAAAACAGATTTGTATCGGTACAATTTGAAACTTTTTTTTTTTGTTGTTTTACACTAGACCCAGTTGGTATGTTCGATTTGTTAACCATATGCATATTGTTTAATCGACTGCAAGTGGTTTTTCAGTAGGTACTTCTGTTTGTCCGCTTTCCCAGGGTTTCATTTCATACCTGTGCAGGGTTATCAGTATTATTACATGTTTGTGCCCCCATAATGCCACTGTCAATGGCCTGATATACTTTAATTTCATTATAAGCTAAAGTTTTTTTAATAATCTCAGCTTATATTTCCAGGCAGTCTTGCACATTTCTGTGTTTATCTTCAAGAAATCACACGGAAGAGCTTGTGTAAAAATGATTTATGAATAAAGTATGTATGTTCCTCGCCAAAGTATGGTATTTTCATAATGGCTGCAGCAGATATTCCTAACAGAACTGTCTTATTTTCAGTATTTCTTGCCCTTGTACACTAACTTCTAACACTTACCAGTTCTGAAGTTGCACATCAGTTTTGTAGCAAAGCAATATCCTTTGCTTGGTATATAGTGCTTGGAGGAAAATGTCCCATTAAGTATCACTAATTAATAACTGATCTGGAAGGGATAAAAATTCACTGAATTTCTACTTAAAGTACATAAGTTTGTACAAAAAAGTTTTTTCAGAGAAATAAAGCATTTGTTGTAACGAAGTGATAACTGTCATGAGTTCCTAGAAAGCAGATATGTATTGCTAAAAGTTTATTTTTACTTCAGTACCGTGGTCCCTTGAACTTATATTAATTTGTTCCAGAAGACTAACGTATTTCTTCTCCTATGCCAAATCGAAGTCGAGAACAACGTCCAGTATTGGGCCCTTACTTAAACAAGATGGGTCCTACACAGATGACAGCAAGGAAATGAGTGAGCTACTCAAGTCCCAATATGACTCAGTTTTTAGCAAGCCACTAACCAGACTGAGAGTCGAAGATCAAAATGAATTTTTTATGAGAGAGCCACAGAATTTGGTTAACACAAGCCTATCTGATGTTATCCTGACGCCAAATGACTTTGAACAGGCGATAAATGACATGCCCATGCACTCTGCCCCAGGGCCAGACTCATGGAACTCCGTGTTCGTCAAGAACTGCAAGAAGCCCCTATCACGAGCCTTTACCATCCTTTGGAGAGGGAGCATGGACACGGGGGGTCGTCCCACAGTTAATAAAAACAACAGACATAGCCCCACTCCACAAATGGGGCAGTAAAGCAACAGCAAAGAACTACAGACCGATAGCACTAACATCCCATATCATAAAAATCTTTGAAAGAGTCCTAAGAAGCAAGATCACCACCCACCTAGAAACCCATCAGTTACACAACCCAGAGCAACATGGGTTTAGAACAGGTCGCTCCTGTCTGTCTCAACTATTGGATCACTACGACAAGGTCCTAGATGCACTAGAAGACAAAAAGAATGCAGATGTAATATATACAGACTTTGTAAAAGCCTTCGACAAGTGTGACCATGGCGTAATAGCACACAAAATGCGTGCTAAAGGAATAACAGGAAAAGTCGGTCGATGGATCTATAATTTCCTCACTAACAGAACACAGAGAGTAGTAGTCAACAGAGTAAAGTCCGAGGCAGGCACGGTGAAAAGCTCTGTTCCACAAGGCATAGTACTCGCTCCCATCTTGTTCCTCATCCTCATATCTGACATAGACAAGGATGTCAGCCACAGCACCGTGTCTTCCTTTGCAGATGACACCCGAATCTGCATGACAGTGTCTTTCATTGCAGACACTGCAAGGCTCCAGGCGGACATCAACCAAATCTTTCAGTGGGCTGCAGAAAACAATATGAAGTTCAACGATGAGAAATTTCAATTACTCAGATATGGTAAACACGAGGAAATTAAATCTTCATCAGAGTACAAAACAAATTCTGGCCACAAAATAGAGCGAAACACCAACGTCAAAGACCTGGGAGAGATCATGTTGGAGGATCTCGCCTTCAAGGACCATAACATTGTATTGATCGCATCTGCTAGAAAAATGACAGGATGGATAATGAGAACCTTCAAAATGAGGGATGCCAAGCCCATGATGACACTCTTCAGGTCACTTGTTCTATCTAGGCTGGAATATTGCTGCACACTAACAGCACCTTTCGAGGCAGGTGAAATTACTGATCTAGAAAATGTACAGAGAACCTTCACGGCGCGCATAACAGAGATAAAACACCTCAATTACTGGGAGCGCTTGAGGTTCCTGAACCTGTATTCCCTGGAACGCAGGCGGGAGAGATACATGATTATATACACCTGGAAAATCCTAGAGGGATTAGTACCGAACTTGCAAACGAAAATCATTCATTACGAAAGCAAAAGACTTGGCAGACAATGCAACATCCCCCCAATGAAAAGCAGGGGTGTCACTAGCACGTTAAGAGACCATACAATAAGTGTCAGGGGCCCCGAGACTGTTCAACTGCCTCCCAGCATACATAAGGGGGATTACCAACAGACCCCTGGCAGTCTTCAAGCTGGCACTGGACACGCACCTAAAGTCGGTTCCTGATCAGCCGGGCTGTGGCTCGTACGTTGGTTTGCGTGCAGCCAGCAGTAACAGCCTGGTTGATCAGGCTCTGATCCACCAGGAGGCCTAGTCACAGACCGGGCCGCGGGGGCGTTGACCCCCGGAACTCTCTCCAGGTAAACTCTCCAGGTATCTCCAAAATATTGTAACTCAAGCCCCAAAATCCATGGTTTTATAGTAATTTGTTCTAAGATGCCAGAACATACCCAAACTGCCTTTGGATTCTTTGTTGTTTAAACATGGGTTTTCTGAGTGATAAACAAGGATGGGCTGCAGCTTTAAATATCCAGAGGCATTGGCAGGTATGGAAGGAGGGAGGCAGGCAGGTAGGCAGACATGGTAAGACAGGGCAGGTACAGTTAGGAAGAGCAGGCAGGATGGCAGATACAGGCATGTAGGGGGTGAAGCAGGCAGAGGATTATAGACTTAATACTCAAGGGACCACTTTATCTTATGACCATGTAGCACTAGCTAGTGCTGTAAAGAACAGCACCTCATTGCAACAGTTGTATCTGCCACTTGTTTTGATTTCAACATGTACTGGACATTGTGTACTGCTAATTGAGTTGTAGTCAAATTCAGAAGAGTATCGAAGAATATTTTGAAGAAATAACGTTCACTGGAATCATCAGTTATTGGACAATTTAGGCTGAATTCCACTGTCATCAAAATGAAAAACATTTGGATGATTTTTTAATTTATTTTCTTGCCAGTTCCACACGCTGCTGATAGTTTTATGTTACTGAGGCTGTTATTCACAGTACCCTGGGACTCTCCATGTGGCCAGCTATATATTTTCCTCAGCATCAGGGGATGCAGCATGGGACAAACAACCAAGCCTAAGCCTACTGCAAATTTGAGACCAGGAAAACTCGAGCATACACAGCTTGGTTCCCTGATGTATGGCATACATAATGCGAGGTTTAAGGGTTAATTATTTCTCCATTCGCTATTCCTTATAATTATAAGATTAAAAGAAGCATCGTTAATTTTTAATTTTGGTAATTTACAAATAGAATAAAGTAATCATTGTACATCAGTTAACTGAGCTTTAGAATCATCTGACTTATCCTTTACTTTACAGCCAACAAGATCAAGCTAGCTCCAACCAGGGTACTGGGTCCTGGCTGGAGGGAATGAATTCGCCTCTTATTCAGCAAGATGGTGACTGCAAGCAGCTAAAGCTACGGTTTGATGTAAGCCAGTATAAGCCGGAAGAGATTGTTGTCAAGACTGTTGACAACAAACTCTTGGTAAGTAGAAAAGTATTGGATGTGATGGAGCACATTATATAGTTTCCATAACACAATTTAGACAATCCAGTTGTAATGGTAACTCAACTTTTAGCCTTGGCCATTATAGTGCTATACTGTTAGTTCATCTACAGTAAATTTTATAGCAATTGCATCCAAAAATAATTGAAATTATTTTTTTTTTATTTTATTAACACATTGGCCGATTCCCACCAAGGCAGGGTGGCCCGAAAAAGAAAAACTTTCATAATCATTCACTCCATCACTGTCTTGCCAGAGGGGTGCTTTACACTAGTTAAAAAACTGCAACATTAACACCCCTCCTTCAGAGTGTAGACACTGTACTTCCCATCTCCAGGAATCAAGTCCAGCCTGCTGGTTTCCCTGAATCCCTTCATAAATGTTACTTGACAGCATGTCAAGTATTAAAAACCATTTGTCTCCATTCACTCCTATCAAATACGCTCATGCACACTTGCTGGAAGTCGAAGCCCCTCGCACACAAAACCTCCTTTACCCCGTCCCTCCAACCTTTCCTAGGCCGACCCCTACCCTGCCTTCCCTCCACTCGAGATTTATACACTCTCGAAGTCATTCCGTTTTGTTCCATTCTCTCTACATGTCCAAACACCTCAACAACCCCTCCTCAGCCCTCTGGATAATAGTTTTGGTAATCCTACACCTTCTCCTAATTTCCGAACTACGAATTCTCTGCATTATATTCACACCACACATTGCCCTCGGACATGACATCTCTGCCTCCAGCCTTCTCCTCATTGCAACATTCATCACCCATGCTTCACACCCATTATGCTCTCATACATTCCCCTTTTAGCTTCCACAGACAAAGTTCTTTGTCTCCACAGACTCCTAAGTGCACCACTCACCCTTTTCCCCTTCATCAGTTCTGTGATTCACTTCATCCTTTATAGACCCATCTGCTGACACATCTACTCCTAAATATCTGAATACATTCACCTCCTCCATACTCTCTCTCTCTCTCTCTCCAATCTGATATTCAGTCTTTTGTCACCTAATCTTTGTCAACCTCATAATCTTGCTCTTTCCTGTATTCACTTAATTTTCTTTTTACATCAACTCCCACTTTGTGTTTGATTCTTTATCTTTTAACTCCACACCTCTTGCCAAGACCCTAGCATTCACTTCTCTTACAACCCCATCTATAAATATATTGAACAACCACAGTGACATCACACATCCTTGTCTAAGGCCTACTTTTACTGGGAAATGATCTCCCTCTCTCCTACATACTCTAACCTGAGCCACACTATCCTCGCAAAAACTCTTCACTGCTTTCAGTAACCTACCTCCTATACCATACACCTGCAACATCTGCCACATTGCCTGCCTATCCACCCTGTCATATGCCTTTTCTAAATCCATAAATGCCACAAAAACCTCTTTATCCTTATCTAAATACTGTTCACCTATGTTTCACTGTAAACACTTGGTCTACACACCCCCTACCTTTCCTAAAGCCTCCTTGTTCATCTGCTATCCTACTGTCTTACTCTTAATTCTTTCAATAATAACTACCATACACTTTGCCAGGTATACTCAACAGACTTATTCCCCTATAATTTTTGCACTCTTTTATCCCCTTGCCTTTATACAAAGGAACTATACATGTTCTCTGCCAATCCCTAGGTACCTTACCCTCTTCCATTCATTTATTAAATAATAGCACCAACCACTCCAAAACTATATCCCCCCTGCATTTAACATTTCTATCTTTATCCCATCAATCCCAGCTGTCTTACCCCCCCTTTCATTCTACCTACTGCCTCACGAACTTCCCCCACACTCACAGCTGGCTCTTCCTCACTCCTAAAAGATGTTATTCCTCCTTGCCCTATACACGAAATCACAGCTTCCCTATCTTCTTCAACATTAAACAATTCCTCAAAATATTCCCTCCATCTTCCCGATACCTCTAACTCTTCATTTAATAACTCTCCTCTCCTATTTTTAACTGTCAAATCCATTTGTTCCCTAGGCTTCCTCAACTTATTAATCTCACTCCAAAACTTTTTCTTATTTTCAACAAAATTTGTTGATAATATCTCACCCACTCTCATTTGCTCTCTTTTTACATTGCTTCACCACTCTCTTAACCTCTCTCTCTCTCTCTCTCTCCTCCATATACTCTTCCTTCCTTGTATCACTTCTACTTTGTAAAAACCTCTCATGTACTAACTTTTTCTCCCTTACTAATCTCTCTACATCATCATTCCACCAATTGCTCTTCTTCCCTCCTGCACCCACTTTCCTGTAACCACAAACTTCTGCTGAACACTCTAACACTACATTCTGAAACCTACCCCATACATCTTTGACCCCATTGCCTATACTCTCACTAGCCCATCTATCCTCCAGATGGGCATTAATCTCTACAGTAACACTCTTTTGATATTAGTTATTTAAAAGAAAATTACCATAAAACTTACATGGTCCTACTAGAGTAAATGTACAATTGTTTTACCATACAAGTCAGAGCAATGAAATCTTAAACTGAAATAATTTTTTTTTTTTAATTTATTATAATAATCAGAAAGAAGCGCTAAGCAACAAAGGCTATACAGCTTTTTTTTTTTTTAAGCTCTTGGATTTCTAGTATGTTCACCTAATTTTGAATTTAGGAAAGGTTTTATGTTGCATTTCATTGTTACTTTAATAAATTCAACTCTAAAACTATGATCATTTACTTATTTTGGAGGTTAATGAATGAAGCTTGAATTGTTCGATTTATTTAATAATTTTACCCTTTGAACTTGCAGGTCCATGCCAAACATGAAGAGAAAACAGATAGTCGATCTGTTTATCGCGAGTATAATAGAGAGTTCCTGCTTCCCAAGGGCACAAATCCAGAACTGATAAAATCCTCTCTTTCTAAGGATGGAGTACTGACTGTGGAATCGCCACTCCCAGCCATTGCTGGAAATGAGGAAAAAGTAATTCCCATTGCACAAAACTAAATAGCTTATTTGTTTAATTAAGCAGAGATTACCTCCACAGCATAACTTGGTTAGGTGAACAGGAAATTTGTTTTAATAATTTTGATTTTTTTCAGTTTGTAACAAGCCAATTACTTCATATATAACCTGCTTTTCTGTGGAAGTACAGTGTCAGAATTGAGACAATAAGAACATGCAGCTGTATATGTTGTAGAGAAAAGAATTATTTCATTTGTAGTCATTATTTGAATAAGTTATATTTTATACTCCAAATGTTATCCTAATCTTGATATATATAAAATAATTATGCAATACTAAAGATAAATTTAGGCACTTAGGTAGGTAAATGACTTGTGCTTAGAATCACAGCCAATTTGTAGCCCCATAAGTACTACTAATTTTCTGTGAAATGTGCCTCTGCTTTCTTAGTAGTACAGTATAACTTTTCTTTCTAGTGAAATAGTAATTGTGGGAAAAAAAAAGCTAAAAAATTATATTTATCTTGCAGTTTGTAATAGGTTTGAGGCTTTGATAAAAAAAATTGTTTACTTTTTAATAAAACTATAATGTACAACTACAAAAATAATTATAGTATTTTTTACATCCTTCCTATACTAAGGTTAACTATGCAAGGTTCCCAATCATTCTCCCTTCTCCAGTCTGGTGAGGAGGGGACGAAAATAGCAATTTACTAATTTCTTTTAAATCTTTGGCTTTTACTTTACCAAAACAGACCACTGTATGGGGCCTGGGTATATTTTTCTACTTCCACACCCCTCAAGGGAGGTTCCTTGATGCCGGTGAGGGGCGCTTGATCTAGGGAATTGGATCTGTGCTCCGGTTCCCTGAATTGAGCCTGAATACCTTCCATCCCCCCCATATGCACTGTATAATCCTATGGGTTTAGCACTCTCCTAGCTACTTGCACAGCTGCTGGTCCTTGACTAGCTGTCTTTTATTAGGGATTCTTTGGGGAGGACCTACCCTTAAGAGAGGCTCTTGATCCAAGGAATTGCTTATCCTCCCCTTCCTGGATTGAGCCTGGTTGCCTCCAGTTTCCCAGGCACTGTGACCTATGGGTTTAGCACTTCCCCATAAATATACATAATAGGATGGTTATAATAAAGTGCTAAACCCACTAGGGTCATACAGTGCTGCAGGGCAGGTGTGGCTGTAGCAGAAAATAACCAGGGGTGGAGAGAATAACAAAGGTAGAAAGGGCTCTGAGGAGTGTTAAAAGAAATATTATCAAAGTTATTGACAGCAACTGATTTATTACACAGTCAAGAGGCAATGCGTGTCAAAAGTGGGGCCGTCAGCAAGGAGGCAAGATAAAGTAAGGGTGTTAGAGCGGTGCTGACATCAGAGGAAAATTCTGCATGCTTGTTGACAGGACAGTCCAATAGAATATGGCAAGCTGAAATTGTAACCAGAGTTCTCAGTGGAACTGCTCGTCATGAGATACCCACGAGTAAAACGGGTGTGCCTAATGTGAAGATGGGAGAGTGCATCTCCCAACCTCGGCATCAATGACAAGGCGGCGGCCAGAAACCTAAATTTGGTCCTATAGAATGTAATTTAAGAGTCGTGTCAGACCAACGTTGCTGCCGACAGTTGCAAAGGTGGTTAGTGGTTACAGGATAAGTCTGAGAATGGAGTACACCTACCATCCAACTTACGACCTGCTCGACTTACGACCACTCGACTTACGACAGTGTTTTTTATGCCAAATTTCTGGGAAATAAACAACTATTTGTGTTGTACAGTGTTTATCCTAAACCTTATAGTATAAAATACAGTACTTAAAGCATAAAAAGTATTTTATTGTTTTATTTTGGTATTTCATGTTTTACTATAGTCATTACAAAAATTTTTGTTGATATTCAGTAGTAAAGTTTGACTTACGACCGGTTTCTCGGAACCGAACTCGGTCGTAAGTCGGATGGTAGGTGTACCTCTATATGAAACTGGGAGGTCATGTACTACTGACCCTGCAGCAGTCTGCCTGCTCATTGCCCTGAAATACATAATGGGCGATGACTTAAAAGTACTACCAGAGCATCTGAAAGGCTGTAGTCATATTTCCTTTCATTAGATCTCTAAGATAAATCTTCATTATTTTGTTTCCATCACGTCTGAGATGCTTCATTATGCAATTTTATCAGCAGCACTGCTATATGACCCTTGTAGGTTTAGTGCTTGGTTTTGATAATTCTGTCGGTAAAACAAAAACTTATTTTTCACTAGTCTCCCTACGTACCTCTTAATCTATGCCTCAGGCCACTTCAGTGCTTTAGTTTAATATCTTTATGCACCCCATATCCATCCTGTGGGTGGTAGTCAAAAGATTATAGAGGTACATAATGGGTCCAGAGACTGGGCTGCAAAGTTTTGATAACTGGACAAGTTAGGGGTAATGAACTATTTACATGTTTATATGTGGTCATAGTCATAATGAGTTATTTATGCAGATTCGCCTCTTCAAGGGGGGCTCCTTGGCGTGGTGAAGAGGCTCTTGGTCTGAGGAATTAGACCTATCGGTCTTCTTCCTCAGACCGAACCTAATTACCCCCCAATCTCCCCTCCCCTATCCCATCCTCCCCTTTTTCCTTTCCTCCTCCTCCTCCCCACTCCTCCCTTTTGCCCTTCCTCTTTTTGTCCTTTGGGATTTCTCCCACAGGCGCGCTAGTTCCTGGGTAGGAGAAAGGATACTGGGGTCCATCCCATTCCGTTGAGGTTCTTAGCGGTGGCGTAGTTTGCCGTGGAATCTGGATCGCCTGGGGATGTCCGATCCCTCTCCGGTATCCCGGAGTAGCTTTGGGTGTCTTTCGGCGACGAGTGTATCTCTGGAAGCCACCTTTCGGATTCCGGGGTGGTGGCCAAAGGAGGTATGCTTTGTGGCGATATCCGGCCGCCCTCTCTTTTTGTCCACCGAGGTAGCTCGGCAGATGTGAGGTTGCTATCCCGGATTGTTAGTTTACTAGCATGATGGGTAGGGTATGGCACGGGTTCCATGCTGCATCTGCGCTACTTGCGGTGCTGAGGTCCTCTTGGGCGCGGAGGGAGATTTTGGCCCTTTCATTCCTCCTAGGAAACTATCCCTCCCCGGTCCCCCCTTTTTTTTTCTTTTTTTATTTTATTTCTTTTCTTCTTTCTTTTTTTTCTTAAAAACAAAAGAAAGAAGTAACCTAACCATGGCAGCCCTAGTCCATGAACCTGGTACCCCCGGGCCCCTTCTTGATACCGCACCCCGTTCTGACCCCGCCTCGTCTTTGGACCACTCTTCAGACATCCCTCATGCCTCTGTACCTATTGCCGGTGCTGTTTCCTCTCACCCGCTTCAGGTACTGAGGCCTCGACTGACTCCTTCGATTTATCAGACCTTCGCTCTCCTCTGACTATGCTTCCGGCCTCTCCCTCTACGGTGCGGCAATTTTCAAATCGCCGACCCGTTCCACGTCGGACCAACTCTGGTCCCACGCCTAAACGTCAACGACAATTACCTGCATGAATACTTCCCACCTTCACCTTCTCGTTCTTCTCAGAAACGGTCGACACGTCCTTCACTACCTTTCCACGCTCAGTTTCAGACTGAACAGTGGACTAAATTCTTCACTTTACGACCAACTTCCTCTACTGCCTATCTTTCTGACCATAGTATTGGCCAAGGCACTCCTACGCCATGTTGGTAAAGATATTTCTTTCATGCTCTTAAGAGCGGTACGCGCATCATTACCGTACAGAATGCTACCCAGGCTCGTGAGCTCTCTCGTCTTTCCATATAGATACTGTTCCTGTCACCCTTGAAAAACATCATTCCCTCAATTCTTGTAGTGGTACCGTCATTCTGCCCCATACCATAGTTTCAACAAAATTTCCAGACATGTGGCACCGACATTCTAGAACAGCTGGAACTCCAAGATCTCCCAATCCTCAAGGTAGACACTTACGTTCTTCCTACCCGTGGGCGGAGACGATACCCTAGCAATGTGGCTCGTTTAACTTTTGACAGCCGAGAACTCCCATCCTCAGTTTATATAGCAGGACATCGGTTACAAGTTCGAAAGGTGATCCCTACACCACAACAGTGTAGAAATTGCTGGCGATTTGGCCATCCAGCGAAATATTGCAGATCTATCGCCGAATGCCCAGTCTGTGGTGCCGATGACCATTCTAATACGTCTTGCAATCGATCTCCCTCTTGCCTTAACTGTCATGAGGCTCACCCTTCGTACTCTCGCCGTTGTCAGGTCTATTTAAACGAGCGGGAAATCCGTTTACCTCAAAGAGACAGAAGGTCTCCCTTATGCCATGGCAGTTTCTCATCTCCGCCTCCAAGGGAGACTCCCACGTGTTTCTTATTCCCGTGTTTCAAAACGTCCCCCCACTTCTGGTATCCCATCTTCTACACCCACCTCTGTGGTTACCTCTCCCATAATCACTCCTGTATCTAATCCTTTGCTGTCCTCGGCTCAGACGTCCCTACTTCAACGCCTCAGTCTAATCTCGCTTCTTCGAGTTCTCTCTTACAAGCCTCAATATCGACGAGACCCTCTGTACGACACCTCTTCCCAATCGTCCCTCTACTTCTCAAAAGTCAAAAAAAGGTCCGGTAACACCTCCTACCCATCTTCCACCTCCTCATTTTTACCTCCCTGTCTCTGTCCCTAGTTCTTCCCCTCTCACTGCTCAGTTACAAGTGCAGAGGTTCACCCTCCTCCTCGTAATGTACCTTCTCCCCTGTTCCCTCCCAAGTTTCTTCCTCTTCTGCCACCTCCCAGGTTCCTGTCTCTTCTGTCCCCTGCCACGCTTCTCCAGTTCCCTCCACCCTTTCGCCCCCCCCTACCTTGGTACAGTCCAATACAGTTCCAATCTTTACTCATCCTCCCCTACCATTCCCAATATTGTCTCCCATACGACATCTCTGAATTCCGAAACACTTGAAGCAATCTCTGAATATATTGCAGAGACCAAACCATCAATGGACACTGATCCACCTTCCGCTCTTTCTCTCTCCTCTGCTCCATCTGCGCAACTCCTTTCTTCACAGCGCACCGTTCCTTCGCTGCTTGAACATTTTCCACTGCCTCCGCATGTGGACTTTTCTAACCCTTCTAGTCCGTAGGAACCCTTACCTGCGGATTTCAAGTATCTTTATCATTGCCAATCATGGCCTTTTTACAGTGGAATATACGCGGCCTCAGGGGTAATCGGGGTGAGCTTCAGATGTTACTCTCCCAGTTTGCCCCTGTTGGTGTTTGCTTACAGGAACCAAAATTACACTCTGCTGTTATTTCTCACATCTCAGGCTATAATTTATTGTATTCTTCAGATCCTTTTCCTGATGGGACCTTTAATGAAAGTGCCCTTCTTCTCCGCACTGATATTCCGTACCATCAGCTATTTGTTCATACTTCGCTGCATTACACAGCAGCCCGTATCCACTTACATAGGTGGTATACGCTCTGTTCTTTATATCTCTCTCCTCGGGCATTATCTATTCCGGATTTTGCCTTCCTTGTTTCGTCATTACCGCCACCGATTCTGTTACTTGGTGAATTTAATGCCCACCATTTCCTCTGGGGG